AATATTATGGAGGTGCCCTGAAAACAATAGCAGTTAGATCCTAAATATATTGGATTACATGTTTATGGAACAAGCTACTAGCAGTAGTGTATATGTTCACTAAATTATGATATATATAAGATTCTGTTTTTTAGAGCACATATATTCATGCACTTTCAACTGTTTTATGTAAATGTCAACCATGATGTAGTTACACATCCAAACAACCGGCCAAGTTAAGCTTCACAAAGTCTGCATAATACCGTAAGACATGGTATACAGGAGTAAAAAAAAAAACACATGAAATTTGTTGTCTCTTTATATTCCTCGGCTCATTACTTACTCGCATGTTTCCTTGTAAAGCTTGCTGTATTTTGTGCGCCACGTGATGGTAGGTTTCTGTATAATATTGTTATTCTATGTGTTCATAAAAATGTGATTTTGGGTGATGTTTTAAATTTTTACAGCTGTTAATCACTACGTATTTTAATGCTGTTTTTTTTGTAATTCCAGTAAATGTCCTTGTATATTTTAATTTAAACAATCAAAATCTTTCTCTCAATAAACTTTGACTAAGCTGACTTTTAGCAGCTTTTAAAGTGTGTTTGTGGATATTATGCTCTTCACATGAAAACTGCAAATAAAAAAAGTAATTGTGTAAAGTGAAGTTACAGTAAACTCGTACAGTATATAGAGATGGATATTTTGTTAGTTAATAAGCTGTATAGCTTTAATTGTACAGTTATTAAATGCTTAACGTAAAGTTATTTATTCTGATGCAACCTTTACTACCATTAGGAAATACGGAAAAACAAGTGAGGTAGGAAAAAATTCACTTCAGTACTGCAAGCATGTTGTTTATTTGTATTCTTAAATAAGATAAACTAGACATGAAAAATCCAGAAACAAGTTGGTGTTAATTCTTTAATCTGCATGATTATAACTGGTCAGTTGGTGGTTAACAAGTTAATCTGGATTATAAAAACTGGTCTGTTGGTGGTTAACAAGTTAATCTGCATGATACACACTGGTCTGTTGGTGGTTGACGAGTTAATCTGGATTATAAAAACTGGTCATTTGGTGGTTAACAAGTTAATCAGCATGATACAGACTGATCTGTTGGTGGATGACGAGTTAATCTGGATTATAAAACCTGGTCAGCTGATGGTTAACAAGTTAATCAGCATGATACAGACTGATCTGTTGGTGGATGACGAGTTAATCTGGATTATGAAACCTGGTCATTTGGTGGTTAACAAGTTAATCAGCATGATACAGACTGATCTGTTGGTGGATGACGAGTTAATCTGGATTATGAAACCTGGTCATTTGGTGGTTAACAAGTTAATCAGCATGATACAGACTGATCTGTTGGTGGATGACGAGTTAATCTGGATTATGAAACCTG